CGCTCACCTTATCACAACTTATAGCTCATTCACATCTCACCAGCGCACTTGGATCGACGTTCGTAGATCAACTGGTAGAGACTCTTTTTCAAAGATGGCTTCTGCCTGTATACGCGAAGTTGACTGTATGTAAAAAATATCTTCTTATTAAACTGTCTGGACACTGACAAAGTTCTCAATTCTTCGGTTTGAAGGTAGGGACCCTCATTATGCTACCGTGTTAGTGTGGGGCTATTTTGAGCCTTGTTAGTGGTATTAACAAGCGATTTTTATTTGTCATTACTCCATGCCCAATATACTAGCGTTATACTAGCTTTATAGGCTAAACTGTTTTTAGAGATAAAACTATTTACATTCGATAATCATGAAAACAAATCTCAGATAACGGTTGACTAGGTAACAATGTGTAATTAGACCAAAGGTTCATTTTGCGCCGGAGTTCTCCTTTAACCTCTTGCCAAAATGTAACTACTTTTGGACATTCCCAAAATATGTGTGTGGCTTCCTACTTTCCCACACTCCCTCCAACATTTCTCTGCTTCTGGATTATCCACAAATTTTGATATCACCTGTGGTGTTCTAAAAAACCTGATTTTTGATTTTCGTTTTCCAGTCAAACTCTTTCCGTTATGACTGTTGATGCCCTTTTGACATCCTGTGCAAATGTTTACCCAAGTCTCATCCTCTATATGGTCATTCATTTCAAACTCCCACTTTGTCTTTATATGGAACGTATTATCTGTTGAATCAAGCAGTAATCTGCCGTATAGTGCGACATATGTTTTTTATGTAGTAGGTGTTGTTTCTTTATAGCAATGAAATACTGTTCCACATTAGTTGGGGCTTTTTTAATTATCTCCCTTTCCTTATGATTTGTAATATAGTTTCTTATTTGTAAGTATCTGAAAAAATCATTTGATGATAACGTAAACTTTTCTTTAAGATTAGAGAAAGAGCGCAATGTATTTCCGTCAAAAAGCTGATCAATCATGGTAAGACCCTTCTCAGTCCATCTTTTAAAAATAGCATCCCACCGGGGGGGTAGAAACTCTGGGTTATCTGCTATGGACCTTGATAAGGTTGCAAATAGTACGTTTTTGTTACATGCATAGGATTTTTTCATTGGATTACTGCAGAAAATAAGGTCTGTGACAAACTAAACCGATTCTTATATGTCTTGTTCATTATGGTAGTCTTCACAAATGAACGCAACTTTTATGAATTTTGAAGCGTATACAATCGGCAGAAGTCAAAAGCTAAACGTAGGTTATAAACGAACTACACCACGGTCGCTCGACTTCAGTGTCACCACCATGAAGCTTCAGACAACCCTTTCAGTGACTGTTTAAAAACATTCGAATAGTTTGCAAGAGCACAATTAGGCCTATAAACACAACGAGGACTAGTAGTGGACTTTGATGGACTAGTAGTGAGTAGATGAGTTTACCTGACGTTTAATGTCCCTGATAACCTCTGTAGTCCCATTTAGCCACTTGTTAGCAACCTTTTACAAGACAAGTACAAGATTTAAAAAATATATCTTATAAACGTGAAAATATAATGAGCTTGTGCTCACCATAGACCTAAGCATTTAAAAAAAAAAAAAAAAGTGACTTTATGATGATGGAACTGGAAGTGCTAAAAATGCTAACTCGTTTCCGGGTTTTGGCCTACAAAAATGTGTCACCCCTGCACCACTCTATATTGCCAGTTACTTTTTTTGCTACACCAACGAGCCACAGCAGAATTAATTGTTGCGCGGCTTTGAGCAATACACGGTAGTGCCGTACCTGAATGAAATCTGTATTCGTGTATGAATATTGGTTGTGTGAATGAGAGAGTAAATCGGTACTTTTATATCCGCCCATTTAATGTGTATTTTGGGATTTTTTGCATACAAAACGCTGGATGGAAACGCCAAGATGTGCATCAATTCTAAAAATGACATGCACATAAACTACAATGGAAACACATTTACTGAAAAAAAACCCTTGATGCGCAAACTTTACTTTAGAGGATGTGATTGGATAACTTGACTAACCAGCAGTACAATTTCATTGCACAGCATCTCAAATGTTGGTTTGGTTATTATTTTATGTCACTCCTTTATGAATGAATCTTTTGAATGAATGATTTAATGATTCACTCAAAGGACAGCCACTTGTCGCCATCTACTGGTGTAACGATGACCTGCAATATATATATATATATATATATATATATATAAAAAATTCAGAATATGGTGCACCATAGTTAACCAAATTATCCAGTCATAAGCTACTTTTTCATTAAAACATTATGCACCCATTTTAAACATTCTTCTTTCCCCCTCTTTAATCCTATGGCTAATATTAAGAGGTCATTTGTACAGGGAGAAATGTTTCAATTCTCCTGTGTTTTTTACACAGCTCCAGAAATGAAATGAGGGTCTCCACTCTGCCACAACCATAACTCAAGCAATATTCATCTGAGACATATATTCAAATCAGCCTCGGCTTGGGCTCTCTGCTTTGCTTTAGCTGTGTGTTGGCAAATTTATAAGCCTACTTCTTAAATGTATTATTCATCAGGGTGTGTAAATAATGCATGCTTGGTTCCATTGTAAATTAACCCTTTACCTTACCTAAGCTATCAGAGTCATTGTTTTGAAAGGCAATTATGTCATTTAATTCATGCTGTAATTAATACCGTAATTAGCTTAAATACTCGGCAACCCAGTGCCACTGCTAAGCTGTCTTAATTAAACAGATTGAAAGGTTTATATGTCTGTTTTTTCCTCACAATCAGATCGTCTCAGCTGCAGCGAGGGACACAATGAGACAATCTGAAATCCAGAAACGAGCAACGAAAAGAACGTAAAACAATGTGAAGATTTCTTTGAAGATTCACTCTTTTTTTTCCATCACTTTTTAAATGAGCACCCTCAAGTTCATTCAAACCAGTAATAAAACAATTAGTTGATTCATCAAAATGAGCTCAGATTCAAATCAGGCTCTGAAACGTTTTGCGATTCATGCCTAAAGATCCGAAACACAGTGGCCTGGAGCAGCCGTATCTCAGCTGCTCTAAGTAAATGTGGAGGACCCATGTAGGGAAGTGCACTCTTGTGTTTTATTGTTCTGAGACTGCAGGGAGGCAAGTGGACAGCTAATCCAGGGCTGGAGAGTTTTTATCCCTGCTCTATCTGACAGTGATAGAAAGTGTTTTCCCCAAAGTAGAAAAATAGTCAGAGGTAGATGAAATAGTGAAGTGGTCAGTGAATACTGAGGAAAAATCCAGGCCCACTAGCACTTTACACTGCTGAGAAGAGAAGAGAATAACGAGTAGTTTCATGAACAGCAAAGGTACGGTTGCATAAGCAAAACTTAAGCAAAATTTTGCAGGCAAAGACCATTGGCAGGTCCGTTGTCAATATCAATCGTGTAGCAAATGCATGAAGCACCGATAACTCAGAGGTCTCTTCCAAGCTAAGTGGCGTTTTTGGTGGTAAACACTGCAAATTTGTGTGCTCTTGAATCCGATGCGAAATCTGTTTGGGGAAATGTTTCAACTCACATTCAATTCCAGATTGCACAAATTCTTAATGAGATGATTGCCTTTTGCCAGAGGAATTTTGACATACAAAGGACAATGTGACCACACTATAGACGACTGAACAGCTAACATAGTGAGGTTTTCCTTTAGCTGGGCTTCTCTCTATGGTGTTGACACAATGTGTGGCCCTCCATGAGTGGGTTAACTGTATTTAGTTTGCAGTGATTTTATCAATGTCGTTAGAACATTCATTGAACTAAGTGAGAAATCCATCAAATGGTGACAGCACACTTTAGACTAATGGCTGTTAACGATAATAATTTTTAATATGATTTTTATTTCACTTAATTTCATCTCCTCTAAGCTAAGGTCCCATGTCAGAGATTTCAGAATGGGGGAGATATGTTGATGTGTTTTAGATGAGCTCACCTGCTGTCGAAGAGAAGAACATGAGATACACTAACGTTGATTTTCCATTCACCTTGTTACTCTCTTCACAATACATCAGATTCTTCTGAATCAGATTTTGGTTTCATATTGTGGAATATTTCTTCTCAACTTGTCTATCTGTGTAATATTGTATTCCCCCATGCAGTATTGCTCCCAGTTAATGTCAGTGTTGTTCTTGACTGAATGGTTAGGGACAGTTCACCCAAAACCTTTCATGATTTTACCTGTATGGCTTTCTTTATTCTGTGAAACACTAAAGAAGGGATATTACATCTTAAGTTATTATGCTTAATTAAAGGCCCATTCACACCAATAATGGTAACTGCAATGCTAACTGTATTTGTGCACACATTAAAGGGGACCTATTGTGCTAAATTCACTTTTTTATTGTGTTTGAAAATGTGTCGGCAGAGTGGGTACACAACCACCATATATTGGTAAAAAATCCACCCACTCCTATTTTTTAATCTACATAAATCATAAGCAGTGTCTCATAATTCTAAATTTTTGTGATCTCACAAAATGCTTAGTTCCCACCCATGGTGGCTGACGGACTCTATTAGCATAGACCACCCCACTCTCAGTAAACTGTACACAGTCCGCCATTTTCTACAGGCCTGAGCAGCTGTTGTGATGAGAAAAATGTCTCAAGTTTCTACTAAGAAAGCCAGATGTGTTGTTGTTGGATGTAAGAGTGAGCATAAGACTTTTCATTTACTCCAGGCAACTGAGCCACTGAAAACACAGTGGATTCATTTTGTTTATGATGTGAATGTGCCCCTCAAGTTACCTAAAATCATTAATTTCAGACTGCTTTGTGAAGAAGGTTCAATACAAAGCAGGATAAGCTAAAAAGTTGTTATTCAAGGATGGAGCAGTACCAACTGTTCGTGATCCAGCTTCACACCTTGAAGACGCAAGTATCACACTTTATATTTAATTAAATGATTGAAAATCGAATTTCCAAATGTGCTTGTTAGCAATTTTCACAGCTAATGCAGGCTAAAGTTACTTACCAGAGTTGCAAAATGTTGAAACACAACATTGGTTCATTCTCAAAGTTGTTGCTTCTGCCGGAGTCTCTCCTTCATCAGTGTCTGACTTAGATTCATCCATAGGGCTGAACAGCAAACACCTGTATTTACGTCGTGTGCTTCTCCTGATTTGTTATTGCCATAGGATCGGCACGAGCTATAAAGGCCACGCCCTCTTCTGGAAAGGGGGCGGGGAGCAGGAGCAGCTCAATTGCATTTAAAGAGACACACAAAAACAGTGTTTTGCTCACACCCAAATAGGGGCAAATTAGACAAGCTATAATAAATTATCTGTGGGGTATTTTTTCGCTGAAGCTCACAGAGCTTACATCTTGTGAAAAGGGCCATAATAGGTCCTCTTTAATGAACGATATTGTTTTGTTTATTATAGGAATGCACTGCAGTAAAAGATAATTGTGGCTTTTTATCTCGCAATTCTGACTTATTTTCTCAGAATTACGAGACATAAACTCGCAAGTATGAGTTATACCTATGCAGAAACATCTCATGGATGCACTGGGACGCATCCTCCGTGATGTATCCTGGGATCATTGGGTGTTTCGGGTCTCGCAACATCATACACCCTCACCCAGGCGACCCAGCCGGGGTTGATCAAACCCCGACTTGCGTCCCAGTAGCAGTCCACGGATCAGCCCCCTTTTTCTCAGAATTGCGACTTTATCACGCAATTCTGAGAAATTCTTCAGAATTGCCAGATGTAAACTCGAAGTTGCGAGAAAAAAAGTCGCAATTACCTCTTTTATTTTTTTATTCAGTGGCGGAAAAAAGCTTCCATAGACAAGTGGATGGTTTATTTTTAATGCCGTCCATCGGAGGAATATATGTTTGTTCAGAGAATTTGACTGCAGATTGTTTTGAAAACGAAGCACAATGCAAAGTTCACAAAGAAACTTTTGTTGACACCAAAGCAGTCAGCTGAATTGAATCTGACAGCAGCTACATTGTATATCGTAAGTAAACTGTTTAATAATGCTGAACGGTTTTCCACATTGGGCCCATATATGTTTTTGTTTTTTTTGCAAAATAATGTATTAACATTCAAAGTGAACCTCAAGGAACATATTAAAAAAGAATACAAATATACATGTCATGCCCCTTTTAAAGATTTTTGTATAAAATTCATGCGTAGCCCTTAGAGTCTTTTATAATATACATGTGTGTTCCTGAAGGGTTTTGGAGTACGAGACCCATAAAGCCTCACCTCTGACCATTAGCGCACCACGGGACGTCAGCGTTATCTGTGCAGACATTCAGCTTTGTAGAAGCTCTCATCTGTGAACAATTTCACAGAAACCTCTCCACAAAATATCCCTTAGAAATAGTACATGATCATTCCTTTTGTGCTCTGATGATCATTCCAAATGTTTGTTTGCTTTGTTTTTTGGTACATAAATGAGAATTATCATTAAAACATAATGTAGCTGTTTTTAATGGAGCTTTCTAGCTTTATTCCCCCTGTATCAGTAAATAGATGATGGATCTGATTAATTTGATCTCTCCCACTGCCAGGAATATATTGAACGCTGTTTTCAGTTCAAAGGGGATACATTTTGATTACAATGAAATGCGATTTTGTAATAGTTTAATTGTAACCGTGGCCTCTTCTACTCTATAATTATTCAGAATTTGATGCAGTTCTGGTACCAAACTAATTTTACACTTGCCTTCAGAAATGTCCCCCTCTCCACTCACACAGCCCCATATCTCCAGAAACAATCTATCGCCCAGCAGAAATTGCCTGAAACATAAAGAAACAAGTGGAACGGAAATTCATTTCGCGCAACAGGATTATCGGCCCCTGTGCCTCTTATCTCCTCCTGCCTGTTTATAGGAAGAAAAAGCAAAGAAAGATAATTTCACAATTAATGGCAAAAGATCCTGGACTCTCGCTCAGTAGCCATTAGACGAAACGTTTTGGAGAAATACTTCTCCATATTTCTTGACTTTAGGTTTCAATTGTCTTGACCCTGGCTGTATTAATGAATAGGCTAATAGCCAGCGAGAATACTTAATTTATGCCAGGGTGAATTAAGAAGAGGTAATGGATTTTGCTGCTTAAAAAAAGGGCCAGAGCGAGGCTTTTTCCATGGTGCTTATCAAGGAAATCAAATTATCATATTATCTCTCTGAGTGGCTCTTTTGAAGCCATTTTTCACATTATCTTTGGAGAATAGTTGTGACACTCCTAACACGAGGCTGGCTTTATTGTGGCTTGCTAGAACATTCAGTAACAAAAGCCGGTAATGATTTTCTAACTTTGAATGAGCGGATTGGCATTTTCTATCACGCCGGGGACCATGAAGGCAAATAACCTGCATGACAAAGATCCTATTAGAAGTCTTAGATGAGAATCGTGTAATAAGAAGTCTAAAGTTTTGTGTAGAGAAATTAAATGTTCTATTCAAAAGCTTCTTATGTATCCCTCAAATAATACATACAATGAAGCCAGTGGGACTCTTAACACAAGCGCGCGCACACACACATACACACAGTCAGACGCTGCTATACTTTCAATGGGACTTGTTTGCTCCAAAGTTTATTACACCATACATTTTCAGGTGAGTAGATGATGATGGCAAAAGGCAGCAGTTATTGCAAGGGATGCAGGGTGAAAAGATGGCAATAATATACAATAATCCATTCCAATTTAACAGCTTCCTTTCTCATATTCCAGCAGTCTTTTTTTTCTGGACCAGGTAGCTGCACAAGCTTGGCGGGTGACAGTGTAATGAGAAATATGATAATTTCCAAGTGCATTAATTTCATGTCCTGTGGGTTTTGCAAGATCACTTGTTATTCTCAACAAATTAAATCACCATTTTCCCTAGTATCACCCAGTGTACACCTATATATTCTGGCGTTAAATTAATTGTGCATATATCCTTTTACTACATGTTACAGTATGTTCAGTGGGGTCCCATGCAAAGTCGGAGACTAAAAAAATTTGGATTTTTGTTCTTTTAAGCCTGTGAATGAACAAGGTTTAGGATTTAGAAATAAATGTTATGACATAAAATAAATAAGAAATATTTCAAATTATGTATGATCAAAAGTCACAGCAAATACATGTATAATGTTACAAAGTAATTTCTTTCAAATAAATGCTTTTATTTTTATTCTACAACTATAGCAAACAGAACAACTGATTTCAATGATGTTGTTAATAATAATAAATGTTTCTTGAGCACCAAATCAGCATATTAGAATGATTTTTGAAGGATCATGTGACACTGAAGACTGGAATAATGATGCTGATAATTCAGCTTTGCCATCACAGGAAGAAATCACATGTGAAAATATATTCAAATAGAAAACTCTTATACTAAATTTTAATAATATTTCACAATATTACAAATAAATGCAGCCTTGGTGAGCATAAGAGGCTTCTTTAAAAGAATCTCACCGACCCCAAACTTTTAAACGTAGTACTGATTTTCGGATATTCTTCTGCTGATGCACAATATGCTCTTTGTATCATATCAAATCATACTAGAGAACATGAACATAATCAGGTTTTACACAAACTTGTGGCATTTATGTATCTTGACTGTAACATGGTTTTCTGTAAATTTTCACTCAAATTATGGCTTATAATTTTTAAAGACAAATGTATTAAACTAAAAAAAGTGATCTCAGACTTTAGCACCTTGATGTATCATCAAAGTATGTTTAGTAATAAGATTTTGCATTATTTGAAACATATTCCATATTGATACAATAGCTGTAAGCCATTCTTCCTATGCATTAGTCCACATTTGCAACATTGTCTTTACATCATCCCTTGGTCTCCTCTTCTTGATGAAGACACATTACCGCACTACGTTTTTTTTTTTTTTATTCCAGCAGAGGAAACAGATTCGCCCGTCACCCGATGTTGCTACACACCCGGGGGATTGCCAATCGGTGTCAGGAGTGAACTTGAGGCCCCCCTTCTGTCAAACTGCAGTGTAAGGTTGGCAGTTATTTGGGCTTTGTTTGTAATCTTTCTCGGCGCTTTGTCGGGGGGGTGCACGCTGATATTAGAGCGAGTGCACAAAAGCCCCTCGAGTGGTGTCACGCACAATTAATGTCCCCAGGTAGCGACTCCATTAGCCGTATGAACTCCGGCCGCGCCAGGGAATACTAATGGCTGAGGTGCCGGGGGGCATTAGAGGAGAAAGTGCCCCCCACCCCCACCCCCACCCAATATGCCAGTCCCCCATCACCCACCCAATTCACTTCACCCTTCAACCTGACTAGGACATGTTCCTCCATCTCACTTTAAATCCCAGCCCCCGTCACCCAGTGCCACACACTGAAGCACTTTGCTTCACCACCCTAGTGGATCAATGCTAAGAGATATATAACGTTTGGACAGTTCGCATGGCTTTGGCCTTCACCACATCTTCAAAAAATGTTGATGTTGACGGCCTAAGTTCTACGAACTTTGAATAATTTTTTTTGTTTGGTGATAAATCCCAAAATGGGTGGCCATCAGTCAATGGAAAAAATATTTTAATGTATTTTTAAATGTATTTTTTAAAATATATTTTGGAAAAAATTAAATGTTTAGATAGAAAAGTAGTTAAAACTAAATGAAAATATATGCACATAAATATTTACATACATATTAACATCTATATTGTCAAAATATTTTGGCATCTCCTGTATATTTTGAAATATACTTTGAAATTTTGAAAAACACAATACTGGTAAAAATTTTGCAATAATTATGCATGGTTGGTTTGTATTTGATCAAAAATACAGTAAAAACAGTAACATTGTGAAAATTTTCATGGGAATAATTTAAAATGACTGTTTAAAATGCAATATATTTTAAAATGAAATTTATTCCTGTGATCTGGGATGGCAAACCTGTATTTTCAGCAGTCATTACTCAGTCTTCAGTATCACATGATCCTTCAGAATCAATCTTTGCAATATATATATTACAATTGTTTTATAGATATATTTGAATTAAACTGAAAAATATATAATTTTTGATGTATGCAAGGCATGGTATGAAGTTAGTCATGTTGCTGGTGTCAAACATGTACAAAAGCAGCATCATTATGGGATTCTTGCCTGTAGCTTGAT